TGATTAGATAAAGGAAGCGAGAAGAAGTTGATTAATATCTATAGGAGGCTGAGTAAAGTTGTTGGGATGGTAATTAACATCTATTGTTATTGACTTCTCAATGATTGTTTGCCGAAAGTGAGAATTTTGTATAAAAAGGTTGAATTTTTAACCCTGTAAGAGTCTTAATATCGGGTCATTCTATATTGATTCTGTTTAAAAAAAATTAGTTCTAAAAGAATTTCAAAATAAAAAAATTAAAATACATATAGAAGAGAAATATTATATATATATATAATTCATAATCATAATAATACATAATAATGAAAAAACCTTTATTGAGTGTATTACCCTTATATGCCTTGCTATTACTGTTTACGTTCTTTGCAGCATCTAATGCAATACGAAGACGTACTTATACAACTCCAACAACTAACCTAGAACTTTTAAAACCATTAACACCAATCACCGCCACTACCCCACAAGAAATTAATCTTAATTTCGTTTTAGGATACACGAATCTAGCCCCTGATGGTTATACGCGAAAAGTTTGGACAGTAAATGGTTAGATAATTTTTCAATTTCCATAACCCATTGAATATGTATTTATACTAAAATTTTATTATTACAAAGGTCAATATCCTGGTCCATTAATTCACTGTAACAGAGGAGATAGACTTATTATAAATGTTACAAATAATTTAGAAGGTAAAATAATTAAATTATTTTCATAATTTTAAGAAAAATAATAACCATAACAACTTTCTACCATAAAGATCCGGCCACAATCCATTGGCACGGAATATTTCAATTAGGCTCTAATTGGTATGACGGAGTCGGAGGGTAAGTTTTTTTTTTTTAATATTTAGGCAGCATCAATAGAAAATTAGATTAGGAAGATTCTTTTAATAAATCTACCTAATTATGATTTCTTTGATACCTGTTCATTAATTCTACATAATCGTGAAGCACTATAACTATGAATAATTAATATTTCTTAGTCAGACGCAATGCCCTATTTTAGCCGGAGTTTCGTTTGTTTATAACTTCACGGTCGCAGACCAGGTTGGAACATATTGGTGGTAAGTCTCGATATAAATACATTAATACCATGTCAAAATTATGATTTATAAATTATTTGATAATTTTAAAGGCATTCGCATTATCTTGCTCAATATGTTGATGGTATACGTGGACCCTTAATTATAAATGATCCTGATGATCCTTATAAAGGTCAATATGATGAT